CTGTCAATTTCTGTACTTATTTAATCATGAGGCATTAGTAACTCATAGTCTACAATATGATGATAACTGCCATCGGGATCTCTAGCCCATAAGAACACGGGGACGCATTTAAGGAAAATGTTCACTGCAGCACTGTTTTAAACATAAAATATTTAAATTCACTGTATGAGAGGAAAATAAACAGGATAGTCATATAATAAAATACAATATAGCAATTTAAATGAATAAACTAGGCCTATCCATATTACTGTGACTAAATCTTGAAATCAAAATATTGAATGAAAAAAATTATCAAAAGAATTTTTCTTTCATGATGCCATTTAATACATCTCAAAAATACTAAAAACATTTTATAAAGTCCTGATGTATGTAAATATATTGATTTAAATTAAGTAATGGGGCCTCCCCGGTGGCGCAGCGGTTGAGCGCTGGGTTGCGAAGCTGCCCGCAGCCTTTGCAGCGCTGGTTCGATCCCAGGCTGCTCCCCGGCCACCAGAGGAGGGTCCCACATGATGCGCAGACCTCTCCTGCCGCCCGCTGCTCCCCTCAGCAGTGTACTTCGGGCGCTCTGCTCCCCACTCTGGCTCTGGTGAATTCTCTCACCCTCCCGTGCTTCTGACTCTATCCAGTGCTTGTATAAATAAATAAATAAATCTTCTAAAAATAAATAAATAAATTAAGTAATGAGAAACTTCATACCAACTTCAGAATATTAATGTGCCTCTGGGACGTATGAGAAGGAATATGAGATCAGGGAATTTGATTTTATCTGGGATGTTTATTTCTATAAAGAATTGAAACATGTACAGTGTAAATAGGATATGTATGTGTATAGGATACATGGTGCCATGTCATTTCCCTTTAAAATATATGTTTGAATTATTTAATAATTTTTAATGTAAGGAGGCAGTGAAACAGGTCTGGAAATTCACTACATCTTTGAAAAATCAAAGCAGTTTTTTTTTTTTTTTTTTTAGATTTATTTATACAAGCACTGGGTACAGTCAGAAGCGCGGGAGGGTGAGAGAATTCACCAGAACCAGAGCGGGGAGCAGAACAGGCAGACCAACGAAGGACACTGCTGTGGGGAGCAGCGAGCGGCAGGAGAGGTCTGTGTGCCATGTGGGACCTTCGCCCGGCAGCCGGGGATTGAATTGGTGCTACAGAGGCTGTGGGCAGCTTCGCAACCCACCGCTTAACCGCTGCACCACCAGGGAGGCCCAAAATCAAAGCAGTTTTAAGTGTCACAGTTTATTTGGTCAGATACAAGTGACCCTTGGACAACACAGGCTTGCACTACATGGGTATTTTTTGATAAATATTTTTGATAAAATTATCAATTATGAGATGTTATACATGTAAATAAATATGACTTTCTTTTCACATTATTTTTCATCTTTGATGTCTGGTGTGAGTAATAGGTATAACATCTACAGTGTTTATATCATATAAGACAATATTGAAGCAGGTACTGGCAGATGAGTCATCTGATAAACAGACAACATAAATGTTACTGATACTGCAAATGTATCTTCCTTATGATTTTCTTAGTAACATTTTCTTTTTTTAGATTACTTTAGCATTAGCATAATACATAATACCTATAATATACAAAATATGTGCTAATTGGCTGTTTATATTATTGGTAAAGGCTTCCAGTCATTAACAAGTTATTAGTAGTTATATTTTGGGAGAGTCAAAAGTTATATTGAATTTTTGATGCTTGGGGGTTGGTTACTCCCACCCTCTCTTTGCTCAAGGGTCAATTGTATATGTAGCTTTGGACAGATAAATTCAATCATATGGCACATTTTTTTGGTAAGAAGTTTTAGGTTGGTAGCAAAATTGAAGGGTAGATACAGATATTTCCCATATACCCTGCCCCCACACAAACATAGCTTCCCCATTGTCAGCATCTCCCACCAAATTAGTACATTTGTTCTAATTGATGAACCTACATTGACACAACATAACCAGCCAAAGTTCACAGTTTACATTACAGTTCTTCCTTGGGGTAGCATACATAGTGTACATTCTATGGTCTTGGACACATGTATTTGTTGTATACTTTTCATTTCAAAGTTCTGTCTTAAAACTGGAATATTCCACAGACTTATTTATGGAAAAAAGCTGCCTGCTTCTGAACACAAAATAATCTGTGTGCCAGTCTCAAGTCTTCATGTAATAATGGTATGAATAATAATCAATTCCAAACCATAGAGGGAAACTTAGAGTTCCCCATTCCAACTTCCTCACTGTAAAAGAAATTATCTCTGAGGGTCGATGAATTTCCAAGGCCACACACTGATTGTTGATGAAACTAAGACCAGGGCTGGATATTTTCTATGTAAGAAAAGTCACAAGGAAGAAGTCACAAAGAAACAAAAATAAAACTCCCTCTTTCTTTAAGTCTTGAATTCAGACATTGAAGTCCACATCAAATGAATGCAGTTGGGCTCTAGAAGCCAGCAAAGGCAAAATCATGCCAACAGCTTGATTTGTGTCCAGAGTTGTAACCTCCAGAACTCTAAAATAGTAAATTTGTATTGTTTTTAGCCATTAAATTTGTGAACAGTAGCAATAGGAGACTAATATAAACCACAACCTCCATGCTTTGAAGATAGCAGTACAGAAGACAGCACAAAGTGAATCTGCATTTCTTCTTTTAAATATCACTGTCATCATCCTGGAGACATTGGTTAAAATGGCTCCTTCATGGTCAGTCTGAGCCTAGAATCCACAAAATAAGCTGTTTCTTTTAATTCCCCCTAGTCCTATCCAGTTTTGTAACTTATAAGGCTGTGTGTGATCCCACTATATCTGATGACACAGTCTGAGCCTGAATCCCCGGAACAGCCCCAACTCCTATCCCTCAGACAATTTCTTTTAGTCCAAATGCTGTGCACTGGTATTCCTTTACTTCTCCTGATCTTTATTTCAGATATTTAATCCAACTGATAATCTTGTAATCATCTCTTGGGATGTAGATAAAAAGTTCAATCCTGTAATAAATGGCACTTTTCATCCTAATTCTTCCCTTTCCTGAGGCAGCATCCACATCCATATCATGAAGAAGCAGAGTATAGTGGGTCTGATCAGGTGACTTGCTTTGGCCAATGGAGTGTAAGTGACTGAAGAAAGATTAGTGAGCTGAGACACTTTCTGTAGTCATCCTCTCATATTCTGTGTGACCCAGTATGATAACATTTCATCCAAGTAGGTTGAGTGCCATGTAAAGCGCATATGAAACCAATCTGCAGCTTAGAAGCTGGAGCCCAAGGTCTGGAGTCAAGCACAGCCCAGTAGATTGGCTATTGTCTTGCAGACCATGAGCCTGAAGATTACTGTTTGACATCACTATGTAATTTGAGCGATTTGTCACACAACATCATGGTGGTAATAGCTGACTGATACACCTCCTACATGAAATATTTTTTCTTTTTCTTTTTTAAATATTTATTTTATTTATTTAATGCATATAAGAACTGGGGTGTAGGCTAGAGGTGCCAGGGGTGAGAGGATTCACCAGAGAGAGAGTGGGGAGCAGAACAGGCAGATCTACTGAAATACACTGCTGTGGGGAGCAGTGGGCGAGGCAGGAGAGATCTGTTGTGCCATGTGGGTTGCTCCCTGGCCGGGGATTCAACTCATGCTGCAGTGACTGGCAATAGCTTGATAGCGCTGTGCCACCAGGGAGGCCCATACATGAAATATTTTCTAACCACTCACCCCCATTACATCCTTTTTTTGTGACCATTGTATGTTTCAGATTTACATATATTGTATGTTTCAGATTTACCTATGTCCCCAAGTTGGCCTTAAGTTTCTTGAGGGCACATATCAGGTGTTATTTGACTTTGTAGGAGGACCCCTAGCATGAATCATAGACCATAGTAGGTCCCTAGGGTCCTTATTCTGTGAAAGGAAATACACTAATGAGCAAATGAATGGATAAAGGAGCACACTATTCCAAGCTTGACCTTGAAGTGGAAGATTGGGAGAGACAGAAGTCACAGATTTCTGGACTGAGGCCAGTGTCACCAAATACATGGGAGCAAGTTCTGTTGGCAGGCAGAAGAAAACATATTTTTCAAATATATGTGCTTTGTTCTATTCATACATAAATGCTATTACGATTATAGAGATGAATTTATTTCAAAGGAATATCAAATGTGTAGTTTGCTTGTTATGATTATGTGTTCCTCAGCTGATGTTTACAAGAAGAGCTCATCTTATATGAGGAATGAAAAGCTTTGACATTTAAAAGTAGTCCTCATATTCCAAAGTGTTGGAAACCACTGTTCTAGATTATTACTTTTTAAAGAGTTATAGAGAATTCAGGACTGTGCTGAGGTTTTTTTGCTTGTTAACTGGGAGTCTGTGTGGTAGTGACTTGGTGTGTAAGCCTGGCTAACTCTCCCCTGAGTCTCCAGGTCACTGCACATTCACATCATAAGGGCAGGGCTACTGTCAGACTTCAAGACACTTCAAAGAAAATTATAAGCTTTCATTCTCTCTCCACCCTTTCTATCACAAAAGCTGTCACATCACTACATTTTCCAGCTAAGCCTTGGGTTGTAATTATAGTTATTGCCATAAGAATTCTTCCAAAAGTGAGCTTATTTAATAGGGAGAAGTTCACATAGACAAAGAAAAGGCTGTCAGTACAGAATATTGATAGAACATTGATAGTTGAAAACATGATAACTGTACACTCACTGTGGCAGGGAGTTGACTTAAACCATGTGCTTTCCTGTCCTAAATGTTTATAATTGTAAAGAGTTTCTTTGCAACTATTGAAGTCCTTTCTTTCTCTTTAGGAAGCTTATTTCCTTTCATTCTATTCCATTTAAAAGATGGCATCTCTAGTCTATGGATTAGATAGAAACAGTTTTTTTTAAAGATTTATTTATTTATGCATACAAGAACTGGGGTACAGGCCAGAGTTGTGGGGGGGGGTGAGAGGATTCACCAGAGACAGAGTGGGGAGCAGAACAGGGGGATCTACTGAAATACACTGCTGAGGGGAGCAGTGGTGAGAAAGGAGAGGTCTGCTGCGCCATGTGGGTAGCTCCCTGGCCGGAGATTGAACTCGTGCTGCAGTGGCTGCAGATAGCTTCATAGGTTGTGTCTTAACTCCTTGTGCCACCAGGGAGGCCCCAAAACAGTTATGGTTTTAAGGGCATATTATGGAGGAGGAGAATGAAGGTCGAGGCGAAGCAACAGACCAAGGATGATTTCAGCTAGAATCCTTATCTGCTCATAAACAATATTCAAGAGCTTTACTTAAACCATGATGTGTATATAACCTGTTGGGACTGAGATTCTAGAAAGTACATTAGGGAAATATTTATATGATGAACATGTGAGTGAGCTAGTAGATGAATGAATGATGATGACGATGATGATGATGATGATGATGAAGAGTGCTTCAGCCTAACTCTTCACACTCCCTTGATCATCCTACAGTCCTGTGGCAATGAACTTCTTGCTGTTTCCCAAATATTGTGCTTTATCCTGCTGTAACTTCTGGCTCCCTTATCTTCCCCTGCAGCCCACTTGGTCAGTTCCTACTCAACCATCAAATCATGACTCCAGCTCCATACTGTGGTGCAAAATTTATGTTGCAATTTTCCCAGCACAAGGAGAAGAACCATGTATTTAATCATTGCAGCTAAGCAACTGGCTTGGTGACTGACACATCACAGTCAGCTTAATGCTATTTGACTCTTCCAGTGCTTTCCAAATCAGACCATAAATTACTTTACTACAGGATGATCTCTTCTACGATTTTAATTTATCTGTCTGCCTTCCTAGCATACATTAGTCTCTCACTCTGCCTCTGAATTGATCAAACAGCAAGAGAGGTAAGTCAGGTCTAGGTTTCAGGGTTATGAAGGAGAGCAAACCACTGGAAGAAAGCTGGCGGTAGTATCATCTGGTTTCCCTGTGGGGAAGAAACATAATTTAGGGATAGCAACATTTCAAAGTGACAAGAAGGCGATTGTGACATTCCAGAAAAAAAATCCTGGTTTCAGATTATTCCAGATTTTAACTAGCATCAGGCCAGTGGGAATACAGAGAATTGAGGGTGTGTGTGTTTGTATTTCAGAGATAGCACTTATGGAATTTAGCAGTTCATAAAAATGGGGCAAAGATAGAAGCATCTAGGATGACCCCAAGATAATTAGTTTGGGCAAATTGTGTGTCATTTACTACAGTGGGGTAATATAGCAGGAATAGTTCTACAGGCTGAAGGAGGAAGCTCGGTGTTGCTTTTATTGCAAATGAGGAATCTGTGGATCATCCAGAAGATAAATATCTACCAGTAGACAGTTGTTTTGGGAGAGCACCCTGGATGGAGGATACAGGTTTCAGAGTCATTAGCAAACAAGTGAAAGTTGAAGGTTAGGTGATAACTTGCTGTGCCCAAGACATTGTCTAGAGTTGAGGTTCTGTGGGGCTGGACTGGGCTGGGAAGTTGTTGCAAAGGAGTTTCCCCACCTGAAAATGTCAATGAGTTGACTTAAACTTTGTGCTTACCACTGCTAAATATGTGTTAAATATGTGCTAAATCTGCTAACTATTTTAAAGAAGTGAGAATTATTGAGAGTGTGGCACCCTCTCCCTAGGGGTGACTGTCATTTTATTTTTTTAAATTTTTATTTATTTTTTAAAGTTTATTTATTTATGTATACAAGAATTGGGGCACAAGCCAGAGGTGTGGGGGTGGTGAGAGGATTCACCAGAGACAGAGCGGGGAGCAAAACAGGCAGATTGACTGAAGTACACTGCTGAGAGGAGCAGTGGGCGAGTCAGGAGAGGTCTGATGCACCATGTGGGTAGCTCCCTGGCCAGGACTGAACTCATGCTGCAGTGACTGCAGATAGCTTCATAGGTTATGTCTTAACCCCTTGTGCCACCAGGGAGGCCTGTGACTATGTCATTTTAAAAGTTCCCTCTCTATGTCTGATATTACCTGCCTTCTTGAGAACAGAATATTCTCAAGAATATTCTTCTATAATAGCAGTGGATACACCAATGTATTCATACATGTTTAATTCTTCTACTAGATTCTGCACTATTTGAGGGCAGGAATTTTACCTTGCTCAAATACATCTACCCAGGACTTAGCATAATGTCTGCCACAGTTATTCAAATGTTTTATGAGTCAAATTATTGCATTTGTTGTTGATTTCATGAGATATGGTTTGTCCCTGACATTTTAAATGTGTGCCAAGGAGGGCCCACAAGATTAAGTGATGTGGTCATGTCACTCAGCTAGTAAGAGGTTCAGCAAATACGTTGCTCTGGTATCAAACCAGAGCTCTTCTGCAACAACGCAATGTTTCTGCTCATTCCTAAATCTGCCGTCACCAGCCAAGAGCAGGCTAGGAGGATAATTGAGCAGCTGGGAGCAACATTTCTGGAAGACCTCACTAAATCAAACTCTTTGAACAGACTTCTTAAAATGTCTGGTAAAAAGAAGAGAAGATAAGAACAATTAGATATTAAACTCACTACACAGAAATACTCAGGCGACATGGGAAAATACAATAAATGACTAACTGAGGGAGAAATGTGTGTTACAATTCTTGATAAGCCTCACCCCTTTTATCTGATTAAGTACGGAGTTTGTTTTCACATGTTTCTTATTTGAATAAGACGATTTTTCAAACAGGATTTTAAACCCTTTGCTACTCTTTAAGACTCACTTTACTCAAAAACTTGCTATGTAGATGCTGTATTTAATATAAAGAATATACACAAGGAAAAAGAGAACAATGCTGAGGAACAAGTGGGAACTAGAAAGGAAATTTTATGATTGATTAGTAAGGAGAAGAACAGTTTGGAAACCTGGTTCCTTTGTGGTTTCTGAACAAACAGTCCTGACTTGGAATCACCTCCTACCTACAGGATAACTCTGGCGCTGAGCTGGGCAGCCTCCTCGGGAGCCATGGAAAACCCGGCTGCCTCCAGAGAGCCAGTAGATGGAAGAGTGAAGAAAGGAGGACCGCGGAGAAGCCAGAAAAGCTTGAGATGCTATCCCACTGGGTGTATTTTCATGGAGGATAAGTCAGATTAGACAATTGTCTTTCTGATATAAGCTTCAGTTAGGAAGTGGTGCAAATAGTAGGAGGGTGAAGAGCCAGCCGTTACTCAAACTTAATTGGAATTAATATAATCAGATTGCTTTCTAACAAACACTAGTGTTTGCAAAGGCAAGGGCTTGGGTTGGGTGCATGTTGCATTCTACCTGCTCTTCAAAGTCAGGGAATGTGGGCGGGCTTAAGGTCATGTGAGTCTAAAGGACAGTGATGGGGCGGAGGGAGGTGGGGTGCACACAAAGGAGAAGATCAAATTTGCCAACAAAGAAAAGTTGCTAAGGGCTGATGCACACTAGGGAAGGGGAAGGAATTCCCCTTCACTTTTCTTTTTTTAATCCCGAACTGGAAATCTTCCAGGAGCTTCCTTGGCTCCACAACTTCTTTCCTTTTTCTGTGCTTTGGGGTTCTTTGCTTGTCCTTTGCCTATAATGGCTGTGTTTGTAGTTATCTGTGTTGGCTTCCTTGATTGAGAAGGGGAATAACATTTAACATGAATCAAATGTACTGACTACTTTCAAATGATTTCATTTCAATCTTACAACTATCTTAAGAACAAGAGGCAAGGACTATTACCCTTCCTAGGAAACCAAGGCTTAGAAAGTTAAGTATTTTGTTCCTATCACAAGGCAGCAAGGAACAGAATAAAAATACAAACCCAGGTCTCTCAAAATCTAAAATCTTGCCTCCAGAGCTCACCTGTCCTCATGAGGTCCAGAGTCATGTCCTGGGCTCCCTCCCTTCCCCCTTACAGTACCTCGCACGGTGACTGCCAGATGGAAAGTGCTCAGCACATATTTATTGAATTGATTTTTAATTTCTTTGGGGGTTTCAGGTTTTCTTAAATTGGCCTAAGGGCATTGTTATTGAACCAGGACACAGATTATTAGGGATGTATCAGACACATCCCTACCTGCCTCCTCTATTTCTTCCCCACTGCCTCGGCCACACACCTACACTCCACCCAACTCTGTGTCTGCATAAAAGGCCACACATCAGGGTACTGGAGCTCTTCCTCAAAAGAGCCAGACCACACTACAGAGAAGTGGGGAGAAACTCAATCAAGTATACGTGAAAGAGAGGAGGAAGCCGGGCAAATAAACTTTTACTTTTCTTGTAATCTTTGTGAGGAAAGTCCCCACACTAGAGAACAGAAAATCGCCACTCACCAGCTGGAAAGTAGTGGCTGGCAGGGCAACTCATTGTCTCCTATGACCTTGCATTTTTCCTTATCTCACTTCCTTTTTTCCTTACCTGCACTGCCCTGGGCTTGTGTCTCCCAAGTAAAATGTCAGCACTAAGCCAAGGAATGGAGATACTACATATCATGGTAGGAACAATCTAAGTAACTCTAGCAAGCATATACTTTTATGTACCTAGCCACAAAGACACAAAATATATTTATAGAGAAAATATTTGATGCCACAGGGAGAGCTGGCGAATCCTAGATAAGGGTGGGAGATTTCACTGTACCTCTCTTACAAGCTGATAGGAAGATTTCAATAATCCTCTGTTTGAAATTGAGAAATCAAGTAAAAAAAAAAATCAGTAAGTCTATACCATATTTAAATGAGAAAAAAGGAATGCAAATATCCTTGAAAACAAAGAGGAGCCTAAAAATCCCATTAAACAATCATAACCCCATTTCCATGGAAATAAATAAATCAGTCATTAAAAAAATACCACATATTGGGCCTCCCCGGTGGCGCAGTGGTTGAGCGCTGGGTTGCGAAGCTGCCCACGGCCTCTGCGGCGCCGGTTCAATCCCCGGCTGCTCCCCGGCCACCGGAGGAGGGTCCCACATGGCCCGCAGACCTCTCCTGCCGCCCGCTGCTCCCCTCAGCAGTGTACTTCGGTCCTTCTGCCTGCTCTGCTCCCCGCTCTGGCTCTGGTGAATTCTCTCACCCTCCCGCGCTTCTGACTGTACCCAGTGCTTGTATAAACAAAACAAACAAACAAACAAATAAATAAAACATGCCTCTATTTAAAAAAAAATACCACATATTTGGACACGATAACTTTAGAAGCAGGAGAGAGCCCCATACTCAAAGCCAAGGTACTGCCCTCTGGCATCTGTGGTTCCCTGGGCAGGTGCTCACTGGCCTGGGTTCAGGATTCACACCCAAGTAAGATCACTCAGGAAATGAACCCCTGCTGGTCAGAACTCACCCTGCACTATCAGAAGAGAAGGTGGCCTTTGAGGATCCGTGGTCTTTGCCCCCAGTCCCACCCATTTAACCCTCTCTACTTGAGGAGTCTCTACTTCTTAAGCAAGGTTAACTCCAGTACTGGGAGAACTGGGAGAAAGTTGGTGCCAGTGATTTTACTGAATTATGCATTTGAGATTCTTGGTGGTCTTTTATGAGTAAGCATAACATTTACCCTGTCACACTGTTCTCTTCCACTATATATTTGGTTGCTATTCTTTTGAGTTCCATTCTCCCTAAAGACACATTATATTAATTTAAAAAAAATTTTTCCCCTCATGATAAAAGCAGTACCTATTCACTGTAGAAAACAGTAAGTACAGAAAAGCAGGAAGGAGAACACAAAATTCACTTATTATCGTATCATCTAGTTTCATATTTTATTTTAATCCTGTGACTCTTTGAAGCTTACTGACTGACTTTCTGGAAATTTTTATGGTTGGCCTTTTCCTTTCACCTTTATCCCTGCTATTTGTCCTTTTTACCTCTTCCCCTTCCTCATTTCCTTTACCTCTACCAATGCTTCATAAATAACAAATAGCCTACCAAAATTACAATCTCACTATAAATATTGTTTTAGCTCAGAAAGTTTAGGTGTAATATATCCATAGTGGAGACATGAATTTGTCCATCAGATTTGGTATTACAGGTAAATACTAGCATTAGTCATCTGAGGTGTGAAATAGGTAAGAAGCAGGAAAGAATCTGTACCTGGGGTTACCCCAAAAGCTCTTTCTCCCAGCTTTACAAATAGAGTTAACAGTTACCTTATTTACTGTGTTGTAATAATAATGGTACATAGCATCTAGGAGCATTTACTGTGTCAAAACCTGCTAGAAGTTATATATGTCTGTGTGTATATGAAGTACTTCATATATATATATATATAAAGATATATCACACACACATATATGTGTATGTATTAGTGGTATACCTCCCATTTTTGCAGATGAGGACACTGAGGTACGCAAAGATGAAATGATGTGATGCAAGAGATAATTTAGGAAGTTTATGAGAAATATTTCTAAATACCACATATTTAATGTCTGTTATATGTGATATTGCACTTATATTTCCTAGGATAAATAGTTTATTTTTTTTTAAAGACTTATTTATGCATACAAGAGCTGGGGTACAGGCCAGAGATATGGGGGGGTGAGAGGACTCACCAGAGACAGAGTAGGGAACAGAACAGGCAGACTGACAAAATACACTGCTGAGGGGAGCAGCGGGGGAGTCACGAGAAGTCTGTGTCACCATGTGGGTAGCTCCCTGGCCGGCCGGGGATTGAACTGGTGCTGCAGAGGCTGCAGATTTGCTTCATAGTGCAGTGCTTAACCGCTTGCGCCACCAGGGAGACCCGGATAAATAGTTTAAAAGTCAAATTCAGAAAAAATATTATGTGACAATACAAATGGCTTGTAAAAATTGTAAAAATAAAAGAGGTGACATGCTAATAAAATCTGGGACACACTGTAGATTTAGAAACCAAAATCAAGATCCCACCTCTAACTCAATGCAGCATCTGGGAGTTTTCCCACAGGCAGAGAAGATCAAAAATGGCACACTAGAGTTCTTGCTATATTGTATCCTGAGGGCAGTATGAGTGAGGCCTTGCTGGTAGACTTTTACAATAAAAAGTAGAGGTGGGTGGAGGGAGCAAAAAAAAAAAAAAAACCCAAACGTAACACCCTTTACTTTCCCATAAATTATAAGCCTGTTAATTTAGTAGATATTTACTACCATGGAAAATTGCCAGTCTGGGTTTTTTTAGACTGAGGTTCTACCTAAGGAGTAGGTAAGGAGCTGAGAGTTATTTCATTATTTCATACTGACCTTTATTGACTTCTAGAGAAATGTGTCAGAAATAATACAAGTTGTGCTTGGCTCTTACAGTCAATGCCCTGGCCATGAGCCAGGTTGCATGAGAGGTGTATGTACCTCCCCTCACCCAGGGGCACCACGGTCTGCCCCACCCCTCCCCCTCCCGACACCCCAGGGCTCAGGGTTAGGCTTGACCGTGTCTCAGCGGCTAGACAGCCATTTGTAGTAGATTAAATCATCACGTGTGCTGTCTGCCCTCCTGTACTGTACACTGCAATGATTTCATGCTGCAATCCTGCAAAGCTCGTGGCGGTCCAGAAGTTGAGGATGTTTTTCAATTTTTCACAAGGTCCTCTTTATGACAATGCAGGACACTTTTTTTTTCCTCTAGTCTCAGTTACAGGAATAATAGACTTTTTTATTTTAGGAAATTGTGAATGCACTCATTGTTTTGCTATAATAAAACGTAAAGCCCTACTACTAGCCCTCTGTCTTAGTGATTAGGGGTTTTCAGAGCGCAGATATACAGACCTTATAGCATGCAGTCTTTGATTCTGTTTCTTCTATTTCTTTCTCCACTTATTCTTCATTTGGCTCCTTTTCTTCATTCTTTTCTTCAAGATTTTATTTTTTCCTCTGGCACATATATCTATATATTCCACTTTACATCTTATATGGAATAAAATAGGATGTAGATAGATAAATAAAATAATTACTTCAGCAGTGATGTAAAAAAATAAAAAAATAATATAAAAAAATAATTACTTCACAAATACTAAGTATTCAATAGTGTCGCTTAAATCAGTGAATCTACAAAGCCATAGAAGTTGTGTTCCCTGAAGATCTCAGTTAATTAGAATTTGTGAGCCAAACCTAGCTTATGAGTCTTTTCTTCAGTCCCATTTCCAGACACAGATGTCCACAGTGCCTTTGACAGCACCAGTGCCTTTGACAGCATGTGCTCCTCTTTCCTGCTTTGTGTCTTAATGACACAATTGCCTGGTGGTGGAGCCCACGCAAGTAGACACCCCCCTTTCTTTCTTTTTTTGTTTAAAGAAAGAATTTATACAAGAACAGTGGTACAGGCCAGATGTGCGGGAGGGTGAGAGGATTCACCAGAGACAGGCGGGGAGCAGAACAGGCAGACTGATGAAATACACTGCTGAGGGGAGCAGCGGGCGACACAGGAGAGGTCTGCGTGCCATGTGGGATTCTCGCTGGCTGACTGGGATTGAGCCTGCACTGAAGAGGCTGTGGACAGCTTCACAGTGCAGCGCTTTGTGAAGGCCCTCCCGATTTCTCCTTTCTGTTCAGACTACCTGATTTATGTTAGGCTGGGTCTGGGAAATGGTGATTACAAGCATTATTCTGTTAAAGGTCATTTAGATCATAGATCTATTTAAAGGTTTCAGAAAAGCTGCAAAAGAAATTCATAGTGCAAAGACTGTAGGAAGCCAAAGTGCTAGTGAAAACATTTAAGAATCATACATAAAGACCTAAATAAACATTCTTGTCAATTCCTTGTAAAATTATTTTTTGTTTAAGCTGTTTAATTAAATTGTGATCAGTCCCTTTAAAAAATACTACTCTGGCCTCTGTTCATTCTGATTAGGGAATGCTGCAGTTCTACCTCAAGATTTCAGTTTCCACTTTAGACTCAAGTTTTATTTGCCATGGATATAGGAGTTCTGGGTAGGTTTCTAGGGATCTGTGAACTAACTGATATCATAGGCAAAATGTTTGAGCATAGAAAAATAGGCTTTAGCTTTCATGAGCTCCTCAAAGGGGATTGCCATCCAAAGATGGACTTGCTGCTCTAAGAGTAATTACAGGATGTTTTTGTTCCCTTCAGTGCTAATACCTGAAATTTCCCATTCTTTGAATTGAATCAGGGTTACTCTGACTCTCAACTCAATTTAGCCAACAGTTCTTAAACCCCTTTAGTCTGCAAAGCACTATTTGGTCTATTAGGGAAATAGGGATAGTTCTCATCTAGTCCAGGCCTTCCAGGAATTACAGTCTGATCAAACCTTAATGTGCAAAAGAATCAGCTGAAGATCTTCACTTGTAGATTCTTGTAGTTGTGGAGTAGGGCCCCAAAGTCTCTGTTTTCTTATACATAGAAGAAATAATAATTAATAGAATTAATAGTTTCACATACTTTCCATGTATGCCTGATGTTAAGTACGTAAACTCGTTTGCAAATCTGGACTTATGAAACAGGTAAACCAGGAGCCTTTTATGGGAACATTGGTTCCCATACTTTGCTGCACCTGGGAATCTTTAAATCCATTGATACCTGGTCTACTCCCTCAGACACCCTGAATTAATTGGTAAGATATAATGTGGGTGGGGCTTAGGGATTTTGATTGACTCTCCAGGTAATTCTAACATGCAAAAGTTAGGAACCATTGGTCTAGTAACTATCTTCATTGTCTTTGTGTCTGTCTCATAACTTCTTAAAGTGACTACAAAATTATGATAGAAAACTTGATTTCTCTGGGCCCCAAGCCTTCCACCTGAAGGGACATTTTGAACCTTCAGCTCAGACACTTTATAGCCATCTTCTGTTAGTTTATCTGAACCCTTTTCTAGGATCTAACTATTATATTTTTCTACTATGATAAAGGCTAATGTTGATATTCAAGCACAACCAAAAGAAATTGTTTGGGCAATTTAAAGTCTATGTTATATAACTGTTCCAAAGTACAAAGGACCATTAACAAAGAAAATTTTCTATTATAATATGTATGATCCATATGAAAAGAATAAAATCTTATTGAGATATTTACTGGATGATTCAAATGAAAAAATATAGTGTGTTCCTGGATAAGAGGACTAGAATTATAGTGTCATAGATAAGCAGATGAACTAAGGAGTCAGACTCCTATTTGGACCACAGCTCTTCCATTTATTAATTTCTTGAACTTAACCAGGATTCATGGGGATACAGGAAGACACATGTTATCAGGTCTCACAAAGACAGGGTGAAGGCTGTTCAGGATCCAACAAAGGTATAGCCTCCAGATGATGTAGAGCAGAGATTCCCAAACTTCAATGTGTGGGGGTCTCCAAAGCACAGAGATTCTGATTTATTAAGTCTGGAGTTGGGCCTGAGATTCTGCATTTACAACAAGCTCATGCTGGTCTGCAGACCACACTTTGCATAAAGAGGATCCAAATCTCTCAGCTGCTACTTGTTTAATTCCTTTTTCTGGTGCTCTACTCACCTCATGGCTCTTTCTCTATGTCTCTCCAAGTCTCTGTACCGGATGTCCTACTTCCAATCACTTGTATCTCAATTACTAATTCTGTAGGAGAAGGGAGAGAATTGATTTTTCTCAGGGTAGTAGAAATATAGGTAACTTTAAAAATACTCTTATAGCTTCCAAATGTTCTTTAATGAGCTGGCATTATTTATAATTAGAACAAATTTTTTTTTTTGCTATTCATAACTAACATCATTACCATTTTGAATGCCTTCTATGCAATCTGGCCTTTCAGAACTAAAGCCCCAGAGAAATCCATAGAGCTGGAGAGAAAAATAGCAATTTGAGAAGCAGGAACAGAACCCAGGTCATTAAGAAAACATCCTAAGAACACAGTCATTGTCTTTGGAAGAAATTTCAGGATTTCCAAAGGGGTCAGCAAGCAGCATCCAACACAAAGAACCTGGTCTCTATGACGGAGGAGATTTCTGGTGTTCTTTTTGTGGGTGGCCCAAACTTGCCCTGCAGCTATGTGGACTCATTGTGGAAAGGAGAAGGGGAGCTTTGACACTCCATGATTATTTCCTTCTCTAGAAAACTTGCAGTGACTCCTGTATCTGGCATGCACAGTCCTTTGTCGTGTGAACACAGTTAAAAGGAGCAAGAGACGCTTATCTCAGAGCGCATGCACAGCAGCTAGACTCAGCCTGTGAGTAATGCGATATTTCTGAAGATTTGCACTCATTACTAACCCAGGTATTAGCCACCACAAGATGGTATGTTTCACGTCTTTTCTCTTTTGCACTAAGTAACTTCCTCAGAGAAGCAAAGCTTAATATAATAAAATGGGGAGCAAACCAACTTACACCATCCCCTTCTACAGAAATCTCCAGGGTTTGACAGAAAACTGCTTCATAAAATGGTCTAAAGACCTTGGGCCTCTCAGTAGATCAGAAATGAATAGAGGTTCCAGTTTTGCTAGACTTCTCACTTTATTGCAAAGAAAGGGGTTCTCCTTAGACTGGAACCTTGTCTGCCCAGCAGGGTGTTAGCCCCTATCAGCAGCTGTGTAAATAAGCAGAAGATATAAAAGGGCTGTCTTTGGACTCAGGGGACCGGGCGACCAGCTCATCCTCTTCCTGTGGGTCCCCACTTCCTACCCCGAGTTGTCCTCAGGTACAAATTGCATTATCCTAAGATTGACCTTAAAGCTCCTTGCCCGTATTCCAGTGGGAAGGACGATTCTCAACACTGACCTTTAATGGGTTCTGCCTGCCCAACCCAAGTGGGGGTGCTTGGGGCACATGACCCTGCTATTAGCTCTTTATGGGCTCCTGCAGGTTTCAGACAGGGCAGAGCTGAGGTCCAAGCCATATTTATCCACTTAGTGCAGGAATAATTTATAACCCACAGTGCAGACATTCTTCCATTATATAAATTGAGCCAAGTGTTATAGATATTTATAATTGATCCATGTAAACAGTTTCCCAATTTGTTTTGTTTTGCTGACATTCCTACTTTATCCCTGAAAAATTCAAGCACCAGCTGTTCCTCTTTGTTGTAACAAAGACTTTCTGTGGTGATGTGAGGCTGTTTACTTCTTTTTATTCATTTTTAAATTGTATTATTTTTATTGGGGTAACAATAGTTTAACATCATTGTATATGATTTGGGGGTACAGGTTCACACCTCTTCAAATGTCTGTTACGACACCACACACACCACCAAGACACCCACAATCCTTTTGCTGTGCACTGTCGCAGTAATTCAGAGAAATCAAATTTTTAAAAGGAGGAAAGTGAGGGTGCCTCAAGGAGGAAGGGCAGGGAAAAATATGCCCATATTAGGGACAGAGCTGAGGAGCATCTTCTGGAAAACAAAAATGTTTAGTGAGTGATCCTTTTTAGATGTTCATTGATGGTGCATAGTTTAAATTCCCTCTCTCAGAAAATCCTCAGTAAAAAATATGGTACTAATGGCTTTGTGTGAACAGAATATTCAAGAACAAGTGAAGATTTCCATGATCTGGTAGATGCAAAGAGAACACAGACAGCACTCCTGGGCACAGGAGCTGTCCATTGCGCACTATTTTCTTGTCACATTGCTGTATAGGTGAGTGTTGCCCCCTAAAATTGTCATGGTCACCATCTGCACAGCCATCTATGGTGGTCCTAAATTAAGAGTTAGCTGATATGTATATGGTGCCTTTTCATATCATTATATTTATAGTATATCACCCGTGACAGTGCTAGGATTTTATTCTTGCCAGGAGTGTCATATATTAGTAGTAGGAATGGTGCAATTAAGTGCAAAGATAAAAATGTAATGTAGCCTATGCTAAGTGACATTAATAGTGCAGAAAACTCCTCTGAGAAACAGTAGTCTTCTGAGTTGCTCTGTGAAAGCATCCATGGTCAGAGAAGTTGCGAAGCATAAAAATAAAGGCTGGGTTGGGGAGGTGGTCTTCCCACAATAAAATCTGCATTTATTTACCAAAATCATTTACTAACCCAGAGTTGCCCATTTATTTGAAATGGAATCCACTTATTTATAATACCATTTAAACATTCCAAGAAAGTGGAGCATGCTGTTGGAGAAGATATATGCTGAAGATTTAAGAAGGGAAGAAATCACTGGGTTAGAATTACTGTTGTAGAAACCAATGTTTAGATAAGCAGAATGAGGATAGAAAGAAAGCCTAGGAATAGTGAGAACTGGGCAGGAAGGTAGGAAAAACACACAGTGAATTTGGAGACCTTTGACCCATGACTTTGGGAATGTTGAAGAGCTTAGTAGGAACCAGATTTTGAGAGTCTTAAATGTCAGGCTACATCTGTGCATGATGATAGATATTGAATGTTTTTGCATGGAAGACTGCCACGTCCTAAACAATGTTTAAGGATGATAGAGAAGACAGACAATAGAAGGGGGTCAATTAGGAGAATAAGTTGAGAAGACTTGAACTAGGGCAGTGGCTGTGATGAATGGAAAGTGAAGTAGAAGTGAAGGGCCTCATACAGAGAGAATGAACGAGCAGTGCAGAGAGGGGATTACCAACACCAATGGCTGCAACAGCAGCAGAAATAAGGAACTTGGGAGAGTAAGTTGATCTGAGAGGCCAGGACAAGTTTAAACCTGGCCTTTGTTTCAAAGCTGGTGAGTTATGCCATCTGATACAACTGCAGTCTCCCACTCCTTCTTGCTCCACACAACATGAAGTTTGGCTGCAAATATACTTTCCTTTGCAATACAGAGAACTGCTGTGTGTTTAGTAGCTTCTTCCTCACAATTAATTCAAATTGAAGTTATATATAATCAAGTAAAAATTGACTTAAGACATTCACAATTCCCTCCTCTGAACAAACTCACTTACCTTTCCCTAGCAATAATAAATCTGTCAAATTTCAAGCAGCTCCTCTGTGCCAGATATGGGCTAGTTGTTTTATATACAGTCTCATGCTCACTTTCACAAGTCATACAAGGATGACTTTATTAATTTCATTTTTGGGAGGGGAAAGAAACAATAAACTGTGCTTCAGTCAGAGCACCCAATTTTATTTGCACTGGAACGCTAAGGCTCAGAGAGGTAAAGTATAGTACCTGTGGTCACACAGCTCGTTGGCTCCCAGTCCTGTGCACATTTCCTGACTCTTACTGAACATACTGTTCATATCATTCTGATATTCCCACTTTTTACTTTACTTCAAGTATTTTTTTTCTAAAGAACATCTCAGAAATCAATCACACATATTTTTCAGTTCTCCCTTTGCCCATCCTCAATCTTGCTTAACTCTTACAATATGATTTTTTACTCTGGTCCAGTAATGACAGGTACTCTTAAATAAAATTTTATAGGAATGGGGAGTGAATTCTTGGAAGCTGGAAGATTTACTTAGCACTTAAAGAGTGAACTCAGGTGCCTAGGTAGGTGTTATTGATGGCTGTCAGGCAAAAGAAATAAAGATACTCAGAGAAGAACCCAGTTGGATGGAAATGCAGCCAGACCTCTCTGGAATCAGGCCAAGAACTGGCCACTTTTCAGCTGTGGACCAAGAATGATGCCAGCTGAGTCCAAGAGAACAATCTAAGGGTCTGATGGATTCCTGAGACTTCATGCTAGGAGATGAGCAGGGCTCAGGTCTAAAACAGCCCAGTGTGGTGAGGCATCCTACCATAAGCATCCTCAGATCTGCATCTACACAAACAGTACAGGCTGCAAGATGCAGTGAAAATAGCAGAGCACTCTGCCTATTCTTAAGAATGGTCTGTGGGGCCTCCCTGGTGGCGCAAGGGGTTAAGCACCGCACTATGAAGCAATCCGAAGCCTCTGCAGCACGAGTTCGATTCCCAGCCAGCCAGGGAGCAACCCACATGGCGCAGCAGACCTCTCCTGTTTCGCCTGCTGCTCCCCTCAGCAGTGTATTTCAGTCTGCCTGTTCTGTTCCCCACTCTGTCTCCGGTGAATCCTCTCACCCCCTGCATCTCTGGCCTGTATCCCAGTTCTTGTATGCATAAATATATATATATATATATATATATATATATATATATATATAAATAAAATATTTTTTTTAAAAAAAGAGTGGTCTGTGGCTGCCCACTACGGCCAAACCTAACTGTGCAGCCTGAAACGACATTTGTCAAGTTAATCTTCAGTGGCCTGGGCTGAGGCCTTCTTGGAGTTAGTGATCTTTGAATCAGTTTTTTTTCTTCTTTTTTTAACATTTATTTTATTTATTTATGCATACAAGAACTGGGGTACAGGCCAGAGATGCAGGGGGCAGTGGTGAGAGGATTCACCAGAGACAGAGTGGGGAGCAGAACAGGCAGATTGACTGAAGTACACTGCTGAGGGGAGCCGCGGGGGAGTCACGAGAGGTCTGCTGGGCCATGTGGGTATCTCCCTGGCCAGGGATTGAACTTGTGCTGTAGATAGCTTCATAGTGCTGAAACTTAACCCCTTGCTCCACCAGGGAGGCCCTGAATCAGTTCTTCCTGATACCCTAATTCCATTTCCTGTAGCAGTTACTCTGTGAGCTTCAAGCCTCAGCCTCTTTTATACAGCTCCACTGTTCCTTTAGTATGAATTTGGAGACCCTTCA